AATCGATAATAATCGTTTATAGTAAATTAACAATTAGTAACATTATCGATTAAAATTGATAAGGATATCTAGCGATTACAATCACCACCGTCGGTTCTTATCGATTAAATTTAATTGATAATAATCGATTAATTGTTGATAATCATAACTTATCAGCTTAAAAAATTTCCTGATGATACTGAAAACTACAATAAATCAATTTTATAAATGAGTAAAATTTATTTAAACCAAATTATTAAAATCAATTAAATAGTTGTCAAGAAATTTTTGTTCAAAGTTTGAAGAAATTTTCAATGCCTCAAAAAAATAAACATATCAGAAATTAAATAAAATTTTTTTGACAACTACTCAATAGAATTCAATGAAAATTTTTTAAAATAAATTTTATAAATTTTATCAGGTCATTATTAAGAACTTTTCATTCAAAGTTTAGAAAATTTTCTGCCATGGCTATTTAAAAGCATTGAAAACTTTTTCAAACTTTAAATAAAAAGTTCCTGACAACTCAATAGAATTTATTAAAAAATTTTTTAAATGAATTCTACTAATTTGTAGAATTGATTCAAAAAAAGTTTCATAAATTCTATTAAACTTTTGTTAAGAATTTTCATTTAAATTTTGGAAAATTTTCTGCTGCAGTTATTTTTCTTGTGTTGAAAAATTTCCCAAACTTTATCTGAAAATTTCTCAACAACTATCTAATTGAAATTGATGATTTTTTTTTAAATAAATTTTACTAATTTGCAGAAACTTTTTAAAAAAATTTTCATTGAATTTTATTGGATAGGTGTTGAGAAAATTTGTCCTAAATTAAGAAAAATTCTACTTCAATAGCTTGACATACGTTATGTGTCACGTGATCATCGGTACGTGCAGAAATCACGTGATCGGTACGTGTCCGTAGACCTGGCGTTTAGTCAACCCCCAAAAAAGGAAATCAAATTTTGTAAATAAACTATATAAGTGCGTAAAGATAGAAGTTTAGGGTTAGAGCGTTAAAATTAGAGGCTATAACAATAGATTGTTGCCCGTGATATGTAAAATTTCGTTTTCGAAAATTTTAATTAGTCACCAAGGTCTTTCGCACGTGTTCGGAATTCATGTCAGGCTGATCCGGAACAATCAAATTTTGTGCACTCTAATTGGTCATTTCCTTTCTAGGGGTTTGTATCAGAGCCAGTGGTCGTTAGAAGCAAAACTAGATAGCAAAATTAACTAGTAAATTAGAAAATAGCTTATTAAAAAATTTATGTTTATCAATCTAAATTTTAATGTAGTCGTATGTTCTTCAATGAGTTCTTAATATATATCATTCCAGTAAGTTAGTCATCAGTTAAGAACATGCATATAAAGTAATCGTCACATGTTTAATACAAAGTATCTTAGCACAAACAATGTTGCTAGCTATTTTGCGCTATTTTAGATGCTACTAAAATCCACTGGCTCTGGTTTGTATTACCCGCGCGTGCCCGTAACCCCGCTTTTGTTGATTTCGAAAAATACAATATCAGTATCGGTATTGTGTGACAATCTGATTGTTTGTATAAACTATAAAACTAAATACGTGAAGATGTCTGCTTCTACCGGAAAAACAATTTCACTTCCTACAATCAATGAAGTTGAAGGATATAAGACAGAGAAGGATCTCAAAAATTTTTTAAGCAAACAAGATTTAGGACTGGATGATGATGATTACAAAATTTTATAGGTCCAGAATTCCTTACTTTGAATGTCGATGAACTCATGAAAGCTGGGTTAAAACTGGGACCAGCTAAAAGGATTGGATTGAAAAAATTAAGGGCGAAGGACAGGGTAAGTAGGACTGCATTCAAATATTCCAACCTATACTGCTTTCTCCGCGTCTCATAAACTTATTGTCATCGTAGAACACGTTGCAACTAGAAAGCTTGGTATACTATTTAATGTTTTACTAACTTGTTTTTTTTTTTTTTTACATTTCTAACCTCATTTCTTCAACCACAACTGGATCTTGGATTTACTTGTTTTTTATTATTCGTGATATTCCGTTTTCTCTGTTTCTTGTTTTGAATTGAATGCCAGCTGTTAAGTGTAAGAAATCCGGTAAGTTGATTTGCTGGCATGTATAGTTACCGACGGTATTTATGATTAATTGGGTTATTTCATCAGCATCAGACGTATATTTCGACATTATGGATAAAATAACATGTCCTTCAAAATGGGCATAAGAATGGACTAAAGATAGTAAACAAAAGGATGGAATTCTATTCCGCAATCACCGGCCCACTAATGCTTCTGATATTCCAATTCAATTTTACCATCAAATATTTGAAACGTTTATCAACTTTACACGGGATTGTCGAATATCAAATAGGGAACGTAAACTTGTGCTTGAACTTGCTTCTGTGATGTCCGGTGTATGCTCAGACGAAAGCCAGAGGACAGTTGCTTTCAGATGCTGGCTTGAACTATTTTTTGATGATGAAATTGAGATTCAGTCAGTAGAATCGAATGAAGTCAACCAAAGTTCACGAATTGGTGAACGAAAAACAGATGGAAGTATATATCCGAAGATCGGCAGAGATAGAGTCCTTTTAGCAAACTTAGAAGCTAAACCTGAACCTGGTACGAATGGCGACTGTTACATTCAGAATAATGCCTGCTACAAAAAATTTGTTATCAAGTCCCGTAAGCGGGAATCTGAGGTTTATAATAGGACCTGTTTGCCTGCTTTCCTTATCGATCTAGATGGTATGTATATCTTTTAATACACAGATCACCATATCTACTATCGTCGATTCTAAATATCTTCTAATTTTAAAAAATAACAATACAGGACCAAATTTATCCATATCCGGTGCTGTCTGTGTCCCTTTCATAGTTTATGATCGCCTTACAGACATCTTTCCACTAGATAGAATTACTTACAATCGTGCTAAAGCAGATGATATTGCACGAGTATTTCTGGCCCTAAAAAACTCTATACATATATTGAAAGATTACTATAGTTCCGTTTATGAGTCAAGAGAAGTCACTTGCCCTTGGTTTCCATGCATAAATGAGATTAATTTAGAAGAAGGAACAGCTATCATTAAATATAAAAAGAGGCATTCTATACATCGAAATTTATGGATTGTGGAAATCCAAACTAAAAATACGCAAGAGATAGGTTTAGTCAAATTCGCCCAAACATATTCTAAAGAAGCACATGGTGCATGTTTCGAACTAGGTTTAGCACCAAAATTATGGGCAGTTAATAACCTTCAACAAGGTTGGAAACCACTACATACTTTCAATTCAGAAATATTATCCAAAACAGAAAGCGTAGTTAAAAATGCTACGAAATCGTTTCATGATTCCGGTTCGTACATGGAGACCTTCGTGATGAAAACATAATGGTCAAATATAAAAATGAAAAAATTGATATAAAATTTGTGAACTTTGATTGGGCGGGAAGAGAAGGGGAGGCAATGTATCCTGAAAGTCTAAACCCTACTATTAATTGGCATGTAGATGTTGGCTGGCACAAGCTCATCAAAAGGGAGCACGACCATTATTTAGTTGATAATATTTACCTCGATATGTCTGATGACAAACCCTCAAAAAAGCGACGGCACCTCTCAGAATGGATGAGTTAATCAAATATTTACACTTTCTAAATAATTTTTATTTTTTAATATAGCATTTCTATTATCATTGTCATTACACTATGCATTGAAAAAGCTTGAATAAACTAAAAATGTACTTTGACCAAGGCCAAAATAATTGATCACGTAGTGGGAAATTTTTATGATTGTGGATTATTTTTAGCGCCCATTTTTTACGTTTTGAAAAAGATTTCACAGAATTTGAATTTTTTTTGTATTCATATTTTATAACCACGTGTTTTTTTTTAGAATCTACTGTTCTTAGAGTGGTGAAGGTAGTTCAAAAAATTAAATTACATTTCGTTATTTTTTCGTGTAAATGAATTACCAGTTAACCGAATATATATACAGTACAGCCTAATATGTTTACATGCTAATGTTTACTAATTCTTTCGGCCATTCACACAATCGCGTTACAGCTATTATCATTATTTCTGGGACACCTGAAGAATTTTCAGATGACCGAAATATCCTCTGTTTCATTCGATAAATTACCTAACTTCTTGGAAACCATATCGCTGTCTCCAGACCTTCAGTCCGAAGACAGCGATGTAATTTCCTGAGAGCTAGGTAATTTACCGAGGATATTTCGGTCATCTGAAAATTCTTCAGGTGTCCCAGAAATAACGATAATAGCTGTAATCTCAATCCAAATTCAAACTCTGTTATAAGTTCGGGTCCGAAGTTTGAAAAATAGTTTGATTCCAGTTGTAATTATATGTAGAGGTGTGCTTGTCAAAAAGCTGAGGATACGATCAGGTATCCTAGTCTCTCCCCGGTTTAATTTCACGCAGTTCGCCATTAACGAAGCCAAAGATTCAAATTATCCCGTTATTTTGACAGATAAATCTCATCTCCATAAAGTCATTCTTAATCTTGTCTTAGATGATCTCCAAAATAGACCATATAACTTTTCATTTTACTATGATCTTACAAACCATTAATTTCACATTACACACTTAACCTAATCATTCTTTATCTAACCATTAATTTCGTCTATCCCTTTCATTTTTTATATAATATTAACTTATTTATCCCGTAATTCATCTTATCTATTCCGTAATTCATTACAAATTCATTAATTTGCCCACTATTGTTCATTCCTTAATTTCAAATATCAATAAAGTTGACTTCGATGGCTGATTGCATATATAGTTGCGTTTACTTGTGCATGTATATTTGTGAATTTATTTATTATATTGTTATCGATGTATATTAACTCTCATATGATCGAGAATTTTTCTTAGTAAAAGTGATCGGTGTGACAAATTGTCACGAGCACAACAACCCCAGAAAAAATGGTAGCCGGATTATTGCGGAAAACTACGGGCACAACATTTCACGTGACTTATAGACACAACATCGGCCTGAGTTAAGGTTAGAGTTAACGTTAGGGTAAGAGTATTTTAGTAATGCGATTTAAACAGTTTATCTTAATTCATAGAATCTTGCTTTACGCACTATAAAATAGCTTACTTTTGATTCACCAATTAAGTTAAATAACAAATCTATGAATTCACGAATTTTAATGCATTGGTTAAAAGATCTTTATACATAATTAAGTTAATGCGAATTAAAAAATATGAACTATAATTTATTTTAGAGTTTTACTAACCAGCCTGGTTGATTTAATTTTTCCTCTAACTTTATTGTTGGCTGATTTAATTAAACATCAGCCAATTATATAAATTATAAATTTTATTGTTTAATGCTACATTGCGATATAGTAGAGAAAATTTTACCATTTCGTGTAACGACGATTCAAATTCTGACCTCGGATCAGACCTACGAAGCACTAATACAAGCATAATACAAGCCAACTAAATAGCAAAATTACGATCCAGCAACTTTACTTAGTACATCGGTTAGCGGGTTTATTAGCGTTAGTAAAATTCGCTAAAATTCGATGATTTTTGGGCATAATTAATTAAGTCCAGAAGCTCGGGTTACGCAAAATGGTAAAATTTTTTGAACATTTGCTACCGATATTATTATTTCAACGCATCTGGCTAATGACGCCAGATATTTAAACCTTATTGGATGATTTTTAGTGTGAATATGCAGCATACATCAATACGATTCTGATGGATTGCGCATGAGTAGGAGGATTTGGATTCGAATTCGAATCTTACCATCTTACCTCTTGTGGATGGTGGGCGCTGGTTGACTGTAGCGCGCCTATTTTTGATTGAGTTTTCAAATTAAGCAGTTAATTAAATTATGCTTCATATGCTTTCTTACATAGTGATTAGAATTAATGGCTGCATTTCAAGTCCTGACCGCTTGCCCCTGGCACATTCCTGCTTGACCGTCTTTTTAATATATTGATTTATCATCAACCTGAATTTTTTTTTTAGAAAAAATTTTTCAATAAATCCATTTGAATCAGGACGATTTTTTTTTGGATTAATAATGTTCTCTTCGCACCCTGCATCCAAAAACAAGCGTTCACTTGGCATGCTTGTTGCAGAAATCTCAAGAAATTTATAAGTAATATGAATAAATCACTTCGCAGTTTTTCACATGGCAATTACAAATGCACAATCCAGAATCAAAGTGTTACCAAACCCAGGATCGTTTTTAATTATTAGCAACAGTCTTCTCTATATTGGATTTTGGTTCTTTACAAACAGAAAAATATTAATACAATTAGATTCTCCCTCTTCATGATTAAGGGGGAACTCTATGGGAACATCAATAGAAGATGTAATATCTTCATTCAAATTCCATATTTTTTTAATAATGTCAATTTGAAACAGAATTTGAGTGCTGCCAAGGGAAAACCTGTCATCGGACTTTTAATTATATTTTGTGTACAGTTAGGCGTCTATGAAAAATCTATCATAATGATAGATTTTTCATAGATGGTTAACTGCACACAAAATATAATTGAAAGTCCGATGACAGGTTTTCCCTTGGCGGCACTCATTTATCGTTATGAAACTGTTATTTATTAGTCAATCAAAAAATTATCACTATCAGTTAACGTTAAATTTAATTTTGACTGATGTTCGATGATTGAACGAAGTTTATTTCGATGCTCGGAATTTTCGATCGATTCCACACTCTAGTTTTAACGTATGATGTACGACTTTACAAATTTGATCTGACCCTTCTCCGCGGAGGTTTCATTAAACCGAACACTTAATAAACCGAATTTACAATTTTAATTATGAAGCTCGGTTTAGGCACTACGTTGTATACGTATCAGGTATCGATATATATATCGTATCCAATCATTGTTATCAAGCGCTAGATATGACAAATCTTGTGACTTACAATGTATCTCATGCAGGAAAATCCGCAGTATTGACTTTATAAGGATAATGCATTTAACGTTTACGTTATCGTTATTGATACTGCTTTTAATATATACTCGCAGCAAAAATGTCACTTAGAGATCTTAAGATAAAGACCGGAGTTGTTGTGCGGTTGGTTAACTATAGGTTACTTTAGCACTTAAACTTTCGAGTATTAACTTATATTGTTAAAAAGTTTATCTAAAGAAGAAAAATCTTATCATAAAGAAGTCGAGGACCAAGAAAAACGGATTGAAAAACTGGCGGCAAATGGGGCCGACTCGGCAGTTCTTAATAAAGAGGTAAAACTACCATGATCTTACGGAATTATTATTTGTAATGCAGAAATTCATTGTCCCTTGCCCATTATTTATAAATAGAAAGAGGTATTGGAAGAATCACAGCGAATGATCCCGGATGTTCAAAAACGTCTTAAAGGAGCTTATGAAGAATTAAGAAATTTAGTTGTAAGTTTAACATTCACATTGTAAACTATATACTGGTTCCGTTATAAACGACACAGTAATAGTAAGTCAAACAATACGGAACCGCATAATTAATTAAGTGATCCCGAATATCATATAAACACGTGATTCCCTACTTATAATAAATTTTAAACATATAGAATCAAAAAAATCCATCATGGATTGGTACTAAAGAATTGACAGAAGCGGAAAAGACTTTAGAAAATGTTGGATCCGAAATTGGTGCTCAAAACCAAAAATAAAATTTATAAACAATTTAATGGTAAATATATCTCGTATGTTTTAATTACAATAATAGATATTGACATACAAAATCCTTTCATTAGAGTTATATTATTTGCCTTTAAACACGATATGGAGTTGAACGAAATTTTTAAAGTCTATTATAAATTTATTAGTGTTCCTTTGTATATTTACATATACAATAAACATAATTTACAAAAGTGAAATTTTCATAATACTGTAGAATATTCAACAATCTATATATTCATAACAGAAAGGCTAATAAGTTTTTTAGATCTTAAATTGGATATTTATGAATTAAACTATACCTGTTTAGGTTCCATGAATGCCAACCAATCTGAAGTTGCAGTAGGCAAAAGTCCCATAGAAAAACACTTATATAATCCGAGACACATTGTAAAAAGTTGCAAAAGGACATATACAATTTTTGGCCATATTAAATAAGATCCGGATTTTATTGATTCGTATCTTTCAAATACTTTAAGAAAAAATTGTTGTGAGAAAATTTAAATGTCAAATTATCATTACCTTCAGGATTCGATAATGAACCTACCACTTTCTATACTCATCAAGGCCTTTATTGGTTGAAAAAAAAGCATTCCTGTGATCATAACACTGAATATTTGTACACTGTTTCCGCTCATCCATAACATGATAACGCTCATAGGTATATTTTTTCCAGGTGAGATAGCTGCCTCCCAAGCTTTCTAATAATAATCAACATGTAACGAACGATAAACATTAATAAAATAATTGAATTTTAATGAATAAATTGTGTCATGCATACTTTTCTCTTAAGTTGTTCTTGATCTTTATCTGTTTGACTAATTTGCGTTTCCTTTTTATTTTTCTAAACACCAAATAAATTAGCCCATTAACTAAAGTGTCGATTATTTATACACCATCACCTTGCATACAAACCAAACTACTTCTTGAGCCTGAAGCGGTGATTTGAACTGAAGTTTCAAAGCCTGGTGGGGTTGGTGGATCGACTACCACATGATGACCTCGTAATTCAACTTTCCTACATATTAAAAAAAAGATTTATCAGGCCAAGAAAATAGTAAAGTCTTTCTAAAAGAATTAACGTCAAAATTCATTACCTTGCCTGGTCTGAAAGGTTTGTGAAATCTATTCTCCACTTGTTTATTGACATTTTGTGTAGTGTAGAATAATACTATGGTTATTATTATTTTATAAAAAATTTATCGTTACACGATCTTGCTTCTTTTTCAGATCGTGTGGATGACTTAAATGTGCATCGTTTCATTATATCACATGTTCTGAAAAAAAAAAAAATTTAGTTTACCCGGTTTTCTTGTACACTGACACGTGCCAATTATGTAAAATTGATTTCTTTATCTCCAAAATTCCAGTCGCATTAAGCAATATTAACCAACATAGTTTATACGTAACAAATTATCATCTGGACATTTTTTTATTTAATGTTGTAATGAACGGACTACTAGTAAAATTTTGACTAGGATTCCGATGTATTTCGACCCAGATTTCCCGTATAAATTGTAGGGTTGATCTTCCCCAATATCGCCTCCAAGGGGCATAGTGCAATATATTTAAATGTATAACAAGGATTTTTCTACGTACGTACGTACGTACGTACATACTTTGACTTCATAAAATTTTTTTTTTCCAAATGCATGATATATAGGTCTGTATTAGAGTGTCCAGAATTATTATGCGATTAGTACGTACGTGGGTATTATGGCGAAGCTAACACTTCCTACTACGTAATAAAAGTTAAATTTATATGTAGGGATAGGAATCGATTTAGTCGGCTAAAAAATTTACTATGTTTATTCGATTTAGTCGACTAAATCATATAGCCGATTCCTATCCTTATTTATATGAATTTTATCTTGCAATGTCATCTTTTACTTACCCTCAAATTTTGGTGCAATATGGATAACTTTTAATTAATAGATTTTTTCATATACGTTTTGGCGCAGAAAATTAATTTCTGCGCCAAAGTGTATGTATAATGAAAAAACCTCTTAATAAAAAGTTGCACCCAAAGTTTGAGGGTAAGTAAAAGATGGAATTTACAATAACTTAATGGATAAACTTCGATTTGCTTAGTATAAAATCATGTTTCCTTGTAATATGTTCAATTCGTCACAATACCCACATTCGCCATAACACCCACACTCACCTTATAATTTACTCGGAATTTTTCGGTTGTTTACCAAAAAATTTTAGATTTGTTGATTTGGTAAATTATGCGCATATTATGAGATTAGTGGAGCAACCAAAATTCAGCAGACCGATCAAAACAACTGTAACTGTCCTAGCGTTACCACCTAAAAAATTTCACTGGACAATCAGATTTCGACGCAAAAAATCAAAACAAATCAAAAAATCGCTTATTAAAACATTTTATCTATGAAACCACCTTTTGCGCACTAACAAAAAGTTTTCCTTGCGAAATTTTGGTACTATAAGTTCTTTCTAACCTAACTTAATAGCAAAACATAATCCTAATCTAATAGCAAATTTTTTTTTAGCGGAATTTTTTTAGGTTGGTAACGCTAGATCAGTTGAATAAGCCCGGAGTTAGGCCGGCATTAAGCAATAATATCAGCTCACATCTGAGCAGCTTTACTTAGTACGTGTTTTGGGATAAATTTATCAATTCTGGCCGATTTCGATCTGTTGAATTTTGGGTTTCATTTTACGCGTAACAAAACACGTTTTTGACACGATCTTAAATTTTGATTGGTCAAAATTACTGGGGATGAACAATTTTTTGTGGTTTCATTCTTGTTTTTGTGGTTCGTTTCGATTTTTACGTTACACCTGATCCTGAAATTCAATTGGTCAGAATTCAGGGGTGAACAATTTTTTGTGGGAGAGCTAGGGGCATTCTCCTGTATTTTTGTGAAATATAAAAGGCATTTTAATTTGTTAAGACGCGTCTTTTCTGAAATCTTTTCTAAAATCTTTTCTCAATGCCACTCCCAAAAAAAGGTCGTGGTGCGTTTATTGTACTCGAAGGTTGCGACCGTTCCGGGAAATCTACGCAGGCCAAACTACTTGTTAATAGTTTGGAAAAGCTCGGACACGATGTCAAGCTATGGAAGTTTCCAGGTATATGAAGTTGTTTAGAGTTGATACCTGAATCCAAACTTAAAAAATTTAGAGACGATACCCGGATATAAGTATAATATCCAGATTTAAATACGTGGATACATTATCTACTCATTTAAATTCGAATAAAATCAACAGGGATAATAATTGCGGCAGCTTATGCTGAGGCTATTTTATTATGAAACTATAAAATTTTTGGGGCCTTTTTTGGTGGCCTTTTTTTTCATAGTTGGATTAGGATTTATGATTAGTGTTAGCAATAAAAGAGTATATGTGATTTTAATAGTTTAAGTAAATGACCCCAAATCTTCACATAAGCCGCCACAATAATTTAAGTCTGGGTATTTAACCCGGATGTTTTCTTAAAACTTAATTTAATTATTAAAATTCGGATATAACACTTAAAGCATTAATTTACATGAAATGTTACATTTTTACGAAATATTTTCTTAAAACGAACAATTTGATCATTTTTATATATAGACCGAACCACTCAAATAGGAGTGATGATCAATGATTATTTAACAAAGGCTAAAGATATTGATGATAGAGTTATTCATTTACTATTTTCCGCAAATAGATGGGAATGCAAGTAAGAATGAACATTTTATTTAATTCAATTCGCTAAGAAAGGATATTGAATTTTTGGCACGTTGATAGTTCAGAAATAAAAAAAAAGATCCTTGATGGCACCACTTTGGTTGTAGATCGGTATGCTTATTCTGGAGCCGCATATTCTGCTGCTAAAGTATATATATTTATATTTATATTTTTTTTTATTAATCAAGTTTAAATAATATATTTTAATCTTATCGTTAAACTGATTAATCATTATATTCTCTTCTAAAGGGACTTGATTTAGAGTGGTGTAAATCACCAGATATTGGTTTACTAACACCCGACATTGTCTTCTTTATGAACTTGACATCAGAAGAATCAGAAAAAAGAGTTGGATTTGGTAAAGAACGTTATGAAGAAAAGACATTTCAAGAAAAAGTTAAAGAAACTTTTAATTTATTGAAAGATCCAACGTGGAAGGTAAACTTTATGGAATAAATAACAACATAACGTTAAGGGTTGTTAATATCAGTCGTTCTTTGAATATTGATTAGGTATTGGATGCAACCAAGACAGTTTATGATCTTCGTAATGAAATTAAAGACTTATCCTTGGAAACGATTCAGAAATGCAATTACTTACAATTAAAAGAAGATTTGTGGAAAGAGTGTTCTTAATGCAGTCGATCACACCTTTTATGGTATAAAATGTCGATCAGATATTTCTAGACATTTCGGTTGCACAATATCACAAGTTAATTGGCCAATCAGATTAATAAAAAAATCGATTATTTCGTAGTAACGTATAACTAAAATATTCAAATTTCCCATTTTAAAATTATATATATAGAAATTAAATGAAAAGAACAACTTTATTTGAGTGCCGCCAAGGGAAATCCCTCTTATTGATTATTTATCTGATTCAGCCCTTCTGACCAATGACACATCGGACTTTTAATTATAGGCTAAAAAATGTCGGATGATGCTGAAATTCAAGGACTTAATTTGACTATTAAAATTCACCTATACTCTTTTATTATAAATACTAACCCTAAATTCTAATCTAACTATAAAAAAAAAGCTGAACAAAACACCCCAAAAAATTTTAAAATTTTCATAATAAAGTCATCCGATTTCAGCATCATCCCCGACAAAAATAATTTGTTCACCCCTTGTAATTTTGATCAATCGATTTTAATTTTAATTAAGAAACCATCTTCTGCGGCCTACTTAAAAATGTTCCTCGTGATGTTTTACTAATAGGCGCTATATTTTTCTAATCCTAACCGCAGGAATCCTTAAATCAACATATAAAATTAAAAATTTTTAATGAGTAGAACAAAACTACAGTATAGTTTGTTTTTGAATATAACAAAATTTGATAGTTATTTCCTTTTAAAGTTACTAGTAAAATAAAAATTGTCCGCATATACGTATATAAAAACATAATAAAATTTTAAAAAATATAATACAAAAATTTAAAAAACATAATAAAAATTCGAAAAATTAGCCAATCAAATTTCAGTATTTTGGCCACACGGTTTACTTAAAAAACAAAACACGACACCTGATCTTAAATTTTGATTGGTCAAAATTACTGGGAACGCTACCTAAAATAGTGTTTCATGTTCTTTTGATGCATTTTTTTTTTAGTGAGCCACGACTAGGGTACGTACTATAGTCAGTGGCGTACAAACTGTAATAGATAATGTAAACTTTAATGTAAGTGTACGTTCGTAAAGTAATTGTGGTCCTTTGACAGCCTCTACGAACAGCATAGATCTGCCGGATTTTTTTATCTTTATTGTCGTTACACTGTGTACATTCTTGGTTCTCGATAAATTAAGCCCATCGTATGATCAGAATTAAAATGTTTTCATAAATAAATTTTAAATAAATAATGAGTGCGGCAAGAATTGGATTGCTTCTTATTCGTACATTCGCGAGACCCATTTCAATCAGCTTAGAAGTAGATATTATATATATATGATTTAATTACAATTTTTCGAAATTTTCATGAAAAAGTTTTAAATTCGCTCTATATACATATTTTATGTAGAATTATAGTAAAAACCATCCAAGTTTTCGAAAATTTTGCATCAATGTTGCTCAGGTAAAAAAAAAAAAAAAAGTAACTCCTACACTTAAATTCTTTAATAAAGCGGTCAAATTATTATTCATCAATTTGGATCAAATTTAAGAAAACTTATCGATTTGAAATGTATCTTTCGGGTCAACAAAGTCACGGATTGGACGATATAAAGTAAAGAAAAAAATAAATTGGTTACTTTTTTTATACATATTCATCAACTTTGCTATGTTTATTATCTAAGGGCCGTTAAAATGGGTATCTTACTTGGCTTGATAGTTTCCAATAGTTAAGAATCTGCTTTAGGTGTTTCATTTTTCATTCATTTAGGGGCTAGTTTTCTTGGTGAGGTTATATTGTTCAGTGCTGCTACGTCCATCATAGGTAAATTTTATCCTTTTTTTCAGTTGAAAACCTTTTCATTAAATAAATAAATTGGATCATTTAACTTATACATTGTAACTATAGTTTGGGATCAAGCTAGGTATGCATGTATTTGATTCTAATGCGGTTTTTTTTATTAAATTTATTATAAATTTTATTATTCACGGTGATCTAGGTCACATAGAAATCATAAAAATTGGCAACATAATTTAAATAATTCAATAGAAAGACTGAAGGATGAAACTTCCGAGTTGAGAGCTCATATTGAAGTTTTTGAAAACAAATTGAAAATGCAAATGAAAAAATTACAGGAAGATAATGAAAAGTTAAGGAGTATGTTGGATCAAATTTCAGCAACGGGATTAAAATCAAGAAGGTGGCAGATTTTTAACTTCCATGAAACACATCAGAAAACTGATAGAAACAATTCAATCCACAAAGAATAAATGTTAATGATGTTGAAAATGAAAATGCAATCAATATTATAATGTAATCTATATCTAAAATGTATGTTAATAATATAGGAAAAATGTTATGCAAAAGTCCAATATAGATCAAATTATTATCTACAATCTATAATGTAGCATCAAACTACGTAAATAATTATATATTATATAGTGTATATATGTTAATTATCTAATTCAAAAACAAAAGTGTATAAGTTATAATGAAACATCCATGTTTATCATGTGTAGTCTAAACCGGGTTTATTCCACTAATTAATTATTTACTGCTTGGTTGACCCTGTCGATTAAGCATCAAAAGTCGTATTTTACGTTGAACAACTTGTAGATCCTTTTCACCGAGTTCGTCGATTAAAGCAAGAACTGCCGTAAGTACATTTGACTATAATAATTAAAATTAAGTATATATAAAATTAAGTATATACATAAATAACACACAAATAAACATGAATAATACACGAATAATACACTAATAACTTAAATATTATAAATAAGTCAAAAACCACATTTCAAATTCGAATACAAACCTGTCGAGGTTCATTCTTTGTGTCCAGTTCAGTATCTTCTAAATTATTATCATTTACTTTTGAGGATGATGTACGAGACGGTGTTCTAATGAGTGATGTTGTTGGTTTTACTTGTAGTCGTACTTGTTTAATTCCATTAGTCTTCAAATTTCCATCTACGCTGGTTCCTAAACTACTGCTTGATTTTTGTCTAGCTATTTTTGATGCGCTTTTCGCCACCGTATTAAGTTTTTCTGTATTAGAACTTAGCGATGGAGGCGGTGTCAAAGACGGCGATCGTAAAGATGGTGATCGACTTAAAGATCCAGATGTCTTAACTAAGGATCGTACAGCTATACCAGAAATACCATTTGATATTCCTGTTTGATTATTCTCATGTACCGTCAAAGAACTATTTGCATGATCTTTAGTTGGTTGTATTTCGTTGTGAACTACAGATGCTTGATCTTCTGAGTCATAATTCGACCTTGGTGCTCGAATTTGTGACCAACTTAAACCTGTCCCCCAAGACATTGGTGATGACGGAAATGACCCATTTCCATAAAATAAAAGGTTTCCGCTATTAACGTTTGCTTTCAACTGACTATTTCCATTGAATTCATTAAATGATTTCTCTTCGTTCTTGTCAAGTGATGAAGAAGAAGAAGATCTGTCAACCGGTGACCTAGCAGAAATAGTGAGCCGTTTACGGATTTTAAGTGGCATAGCAGCAGGTGACTATAATTATAATTTATATTATTAATAAATTAATAATAAAGAACCTGACTTTTTCCAATTTTTAACTTACACTACTCATGGAAGCAAGAACTTCATCATCAGTAACGTCTTATTCGAACAATTACTATTAGTAATTTTACATATAACTAATGAAATAATTGGTTTTCTATGGTCCTTGGCACTTACCATGATGATCCAATTTTTTCAACCAAGGCAGATACCTAAGAATTATGTACCGATATTTCTTTTCATCATCTGCACAAGGGTTATCACATAACCAAAGTACTTCTAAATTTCTTAGCGGTGTCAAATGTTTTACTTGTTCTGCATCGTTAATGTAATTCTTTCGTAAATAAAGTTCTACATTAATAAAAGGTAGAGCTCGTAAACAACGAATTGAACACATAATTAAATTATAACCCCTCAATTGAATATACGAACCTTTTAAACTTTTACCTAATAAAGGTCAATTATTTTATAAAATAAAATTCGCGACAAAATTTATATGAGGCCAAAATTGAAACGCGTTGTATAAATCTCTGTATAACATCAGAAAACTGAAAAGCTGACTCACATTCCGCAAGTTGATCCAGTGTAGTGAGATTATTGACACTATATTCATTAAAAAGTAGGAAAAAAGTGTTTTGTAAATATTGAAATATGCGAATAGATCGTTTACCTTTTACTTACCTCAAACTTAGTACTTCTAAGCTGGTACATTTTTTAAGAGCACTGACGTTATCTAGCTCACAGCCCTAAGTATTAAAGAATATTAATACATATCATGATAATTTAAATTTAGATCCTTGCTTTTAGACTTATCGGTACCCAAAGATTTAAGTTGCGAACGTCGGAGACTGATTTAGAATTTGATTTTGACAGAATAAGTTCTTCTGTCAATATTACCATCCTACTTTGTCTAATGTATGTTTATATTCTATGTCTACTTTGTTGATTGATTAGCAAATATGTACGCTTATAAACATATACGAAAAATTTCTAATTTCTAAAATTCTAAAGAAAAAAAAGCTGTGTTTCAACTGTGATAAAAAAAACAATTCGATAAAAGTTACTGGATCCGATTGGATAAATGAATACACGCTCAAGCCACTTACTCATTCAGTCTATTGGTAAAATGAATTACATAAATAATTCAGTAATTGCGTCTATATTGCCGATTTACGCATTTCGTTAATATGACAACACATGATAATGTTCGTTACACGACAAAAAAATTCTGATTCAATATAAAAAATTATTTTTTTTATTATGACATCAAAGTAAGAAAAAAGAATTTATTATCGCATGAGTGTAACTTAATTATTCTAACCCTGTTAACACCTTTTGGTTAGCCTTTTGGTTAGCATTAGTGATTGTGGATTGTAATATATTTGGTATTAGTCGGGTTAACGTTAGTCAATGAAATCGATCTAGCAGACTAAGTCGATCAATTTTTTAAATCTAGATCACAGCAGCAGAGAAGGGCCCGAACAATGCCAATCTTCTATAAGTGTACCCTCTTGAGATTATAGAAAAATTTATATTTAGAGATAGCATTTATAAAAGTTTTATGTGCTTGGAACTGAAGATTAGCATGCATTTAGAAATGTACGTATGCATTGGGATGTTCAAATGTCGGTCTAATGCAGTTTATACGGTAAATTCTAATACCGTATACAAGATCCCCTGAAATAATAGACCCACCATGGATTAGACCCGGGTGCGAACCACGGAAACTTTATTAATTAAATGCGATTTTTTTTTCAAATAGTTAGACTGACTATTATAAGTACAAAGTGAGTATGTACTTTAAATTTTTCTTTCCACGATATAACCTCTGGGCGTGTACTAGACCCGGGTCTATTAAGTGGTTTAAACATTGGTGGAATGTAACATACCCGGGTCTTGTATACGCACATTTATGGTACTGTATGTACGTACCGTACAGCGCTGCATATAGTACCCTCTTGAAGAAGTATCCCCTTTAAATAATATCGGGGTACTATTCAATTGTAGATTTTAACATTTTTGAAAAGTATCCATGATCCAACCAATGATCATGTTATACGATAAACTCACCTCTTTTTAGTATACCCCCTTGTATAGTCCCTCTTCACACAGTACCCCCGGGGTATTATTTAATTAATCTGTAAAAGACCGGGGGTATTATATGCAGCGCTGTACGGTAATTAGGATTTTTTGTCATTTTTAAAAATATATAATTTAATGTAACGGTAAATAAAATTAAGCTGAGTAGTAAATATTCATGAAATTGAATTATATAACAAACTATATATATCTTGTGACTCAGAAAATATGCATCACATTCTCTATCTATTTTTTTTTAATCTCAGGTTGGTGGGAATAATTTATATGAAGATTTTATTGTTATCTCCATTATTATGATATTGAAAAGTAGAATAGAGGGTATGTGCTTATTTTTTTGAGTTTTATAGTTTATTATATGGGCTAATTGCTGTAAAAAGGGGGAAATCAACATTTACAAAATCATAAAATAACTAAAGTTTTTGGCATGAGGATTCTTGGCATGCCATAGAACCAAAAGGCATGCCATTCAAATTAATATAACAAAAATTTTAATATTTATAAGTATTTAATCAAAATCTTTTTTTTGAAAATAAAGATTAAATTAATTTATAATTTTAATTTATAATTTTATAGATTTATAAAAATAAATATATGCATATACTATATATACTATGTTTACAATACTATTAGTTGCTGTTTACAGTATCTTCTAAAAATATTTCAACTGTTTTCTGAATAAGATTTGGGAAATAACTATTTAAATTACTATTTTTTTTTTTAAAAGATAACCTTTGGAACCAAGCTTTATTGATGTTTATCATAGTACTCTGCAAAATCAAATCAAATTTAAAATTTAATTCAAATATTTGAAAATATTTGATCAAATTTTTAATTATCAAATTTTTTAATTTTTTTCAAAATAATTTAAAAATACTACATTAGCAAAATATATAAACATAATCTTACGAAAGTTATTACATCCTGAAAAATTCTGCAATAAGGTTATATAAATTTATATAATTGGTTTTCATATCCCGCTTACATTGCCAAAATGTGAATTAGATTTTTTTTTTTTTTACAGCCAACTAATGAAAATTCTTCATTTGATAATCATGTAATAATACAGTAAGATAACATTCAAAGATCAAAGTGTCAACCAATCAAATCAATCAAAAATTTAAATTCATTACTATTATTAGAGATGAAACACGACCTTTAGCCTATATTATTAAACATTAATACTTATATATATTATTGATCTACTATTTAACTCAAAGCTACGCTCACTGTTTAGCACTATAAGATTTATGTTCTTTTAGAGCTAGAAATAGTCACTTATTCTAAATAAGTTCTCTGGGTAATTATTTTACTTCAGCCAATCAAATGAATATTGTTTTATGAGTATATACTTGATACCAGATATGAATGTTGGATAGTAAAAAATGATACTATATCTAAAAGATATGTTTCACCGTCAAAAAATAATCAAAAAATGAAAACTACTCGAAAGAAGGCGTGAATGAAAACCAAGGATCCTACTGCCACTAGGATTTCTGAGTTAAATAGTTTTTATTTAATTGATTCTTTTTTTACCTATTATTTATCTGCCACCGTTAGTTACATAAAATCAATGAGCTTTTATACATTATGAACAACATTGGGGCTTTGCTACTATGATTAAGATCATTATAAGTAATATAGCTATTTAGAGTAGTGATGTGCTGTTTATATAATAGCCCAATTTTTTTCACGTACAGTATATACAGTACATACAGTATATATAGTAATATATAGTATATAATTAGAAATAGATCTGCATTATTACTATGGCAAAATCTTTAATACCAGAAACAGAGTGATGAATATCATGAAGTGTATAGCTTTTCGAGAAAGAAATTATATGTGTACTCAAAATCTAGTATCTAATTTGTCAGCGTGATTATAGTTGTCACATCTTGTATATTCTTCACCCACTATTAAAATCACGACTATCTCCATCAAAGCCATGAATCTGCGTTGCTAAATGATCATCCATTGTTAAAATCTCTGCTAAGTTATACAAAATCTGGAATCTACTCATTGCTAATATTTTTAACTTATCATTACTTAAATCGTAAGCACTTATTAACTAAATTACTAATTTACTTATCGCTAAAATTAACCTATTAATATTAAAAACATTAATCGATCTACTGTTGAAATAATAAACTCACTCGTTGTTCAAATCACTTACCTATTTTTAAAATCACCAATGCCCATTATTAAAATCATTATTCTACTATCATTAAAATCGTTAATAACTCTTTGTTGCGATCACTAACTTGTCTATTTATTTTTTAAATTATAACCTTACCCATCATTGAAATCATAAAATATAAAAAACAGACAAATAAATCTACACAGTGTCAAATATTAGTATAGATTGTTTGTTATTCGCAAAAAATGCTCATTGATTAAGCTATGCAGATACATATTAAAGTTTTGTACTTAACACTAACCATTTATCAACCAATCCTATTACCCAAGCTTTATTTTTATTTTTTTTTTTTGGTGTTCAGGTGGGATCTTGCCCATGACTTTATTTATTGTTAATACTTTCATTACATGTATTAC